CTCACACTTTGTCCCCTCTGTGTCACCCCCTGAGCACACCTGGAGCCTCGGCAGCGAGGAGCAGCGCCCCTGTCCCCATGTCCCTGTCCCCCTGTCCCTGTCCCTCTGTCCCTCTGTCCCCCTGTCCGTCCCTGTCCCCCTCAGCAGCAGCTCAATGTTTAGAGCAGCGGGACGGGGATCTGGGTGACAGTGGGGACACGGTGGGGACACGGTGGGGACACGGTGGGGACACACAATAGGGACACGATGGCAATGGGGACACGGTGACAGTGGGGACACGGTGACAACACCAGCAGCACCCACCGGGGGGCGTGGGGGGAGCGTGGGGACAAATCCGGGGCCTTGGGGACAGCTGGGGAGGGGACACCCGGGGAGGGGACACAAGTGACCCCACCCTGGAGCTCGCCAGCCCCGCCCCCCTCCGGTAACGCCCTCTCCGAGCCCCCATCCCCGGAGCCCCCGATGTCCCTCGGAGCCCCTCGGTGTCCCCCGGTGCCACCCTCGGCCCGTGTCCCAGTGTCCCCCGGCTCCGCTGTCCCTCGGATCCCCCCGGCGTCTCCTGGTTCCACCCCCGGTCCCTGTCCCCCATTGTCCCCGCGTTCTCCCCGGTGCCCCCCGGCCCGTGTGCCCCCGTTCTCCCCAGTGTCCCCGTTCTCCCCCGGCCCGCTGTCCCGGCCCGGGGAGTGGGGATGTGGGGAGACCCCCCCCCCCCAAAAAAAAAAACCTCTCTGAGGGTCTGTTTGGGTGGGGCGGGCTCCAAGCACCCCCCCCCCGCTTTCCAGTTTGGGGCTGGGGGCTTTCCAGTTACACCAGCAGAGACCACCCAGTGCCCATCTGGGGGGTCCAGTGCCCCCCTCCCCAATTTGGGGGTCCAGTGCCCATTTTGGGGGTCCAGCCCCCCCCCAATTTGGGGGTCCAGTGCCCATCTGGGGGATCCAGCCCCCCCCCATTTTGGGGGTCCCAGTGCCCCTCTTGGGGGTCCATCCCCTATTTTAGGGGTCCAGCCCCCCCCTCCTTGGGGGTCCGCCCCCCCCAGCACCCAATGGGGGAGGGGGAAGGGACCCCCCCCACC